GGACAGTTAGGTCCTAGAGATGTGGTGAAAACAGCTGCGCAGAGGGGGCCCAATGTGATTTTCTATCCAGTTTCGCTTTTTTCCAGAATAACAAAATCATTGTTTCACGTCAGTGTGCAATGTTTTTATTGCTGTCAGTCTAATATGTGTAAAATCCCACTTTTGGAGCACCAGTTCACACTTCACATTTATGTTGAGGTCTGAGTTAAAATCTATACACAAAAAATACAAATGGCTGCCAAATTAAAGGGGGAAAAAATATCACCATCTACAGCCCAAATATATTATAATAAAGTTAAATCAAAACATAATATTCTAAGTAAATGTCTTTCAAAGCTATTGTTCTGCATTGCATTTCATATCAAAGGTGTTTACTACATTGTGTTCTGTTTGCTCCCCTGTATACGTGCGGCTGTAATATGTGGTACAAGTGGTTAATAGTAGTTTCGGTGGGTGGATGTTGGTTAGGCGGCGGGTTTGATTGACGAGGCAAGGGTCTGATTCAGTGAGAAGATGCTGCCTTCAGGGGCTTATAGTAAAGTCCGCATTTCCACACACAACATAGTTGTATATAAAAATGAGCAGATATAATGAATGAAACTGTGCGCAAATGTTTATGTGAGAGCCATTAAATATGTTCTGTTCTGTTCTGATGTGGGAAAAACAGTCTATGATTATATCTGACCATCTCAAACTAGGCGGTTTCTGTCTATACATTTATTTTATAAATAGAAGTTGCTTAGATTTTATAGATTTAAATAGAAGGGAAGTAGATACAATTATAACCCATTAGTAGCCTTCCCTTCTGCCTAGTGTGATTTGTAATATTGATATTATAATATTATATAATACATGGTATATTTAAATGTTTTCACAGATTTTATATTTACCATAGGCTTTTAAAAATATTGAGCATCTAAACCCTTATTTTGTCTGTATTTCTCTGTATATTCTTTTGATTAACTTGCATAATTGCATTTTGTGTGTGACTATTTGGTGGAATATATGAGAGGAAAACAAAGGCCAAAAAGATTATCTTCACACTTTCTTTCTGTGTTTGTTTTGTTTCTGTTTGTGCTTCGTGTAAAATAATAACAGTATGGACGTATTATTAAAAACCCTTTGGGGGCTGTACTTTTATAGAAACAATCTTATAAATAGAAATGTATGTAGTATACGTTCAGGCTATCGGTGCTGGCTAATATCAGCTTTAAGAATCAGAATCAGAAATACTTTATTGATCCCCGAGGGGAAATTTGAAAGAGCAACAAATATTATGTGACTGTTGCTACTTTAACACTTGTGGCATTTGTCCGTGGTGTAATTTTGATATTTCCGACCGCCCCTGAAGGCAGCATTAGTATGGTGGGAGAGGCTGGTTTGTTGACCGACTTCGGCTGCGTTGTTGCTGCAACTGGCAAAACCAGCTAGGCTCCCTTACCAGAGTTAAAGCTTTTCATTTGGCAAGATGTCAGCAATGTAATGTAATGTCTCGTCGCACAGCTGATGCCACGGGTTCCGGCTCTTGAAGATGATTGCCATCAGATAAATCCCCTGTTATCGGAGGAATTTGTAACACAGCACGACGTGGTTTTAGCTAGCAATAGCTTAAGTTACAAGATTGACAAGATAGACGGCTGAAGTTCCTCCGGAGGGAGATGGGTAACACAAGGCTGCCCACAGGTAGCTTATGTAGCAGGTCGGCCAGCTGAGTGCGACATGGAAATAGGAATATTTCCAGATGGCTTTCGTCCATAAAATCAATCCCCATTCTTACAGAAACTTGTGTGAGTGCCGACCTTAAAGAAGTGAAGCAGCAGTGTCAAAGGACGTAAGCTAGCTGTCAAACTCTCGCTCGCCCTGGCTACTCCGCTGGCCTAAGAAGCTAGCAGCTAGCTGGCTAGCCGCACGTCTGGCTCCTCTACCAAAGTAAGTGTTTGCATTCATTAGTAATTCGCTGGCAGCTTTATCCGGTTTGTTTTTTACAAAGGGCACAGCCGTGGACTTCTAACTCTGAGTTGCTGAAATACATTTGCGGACTGTTGTTTGTGTGGCAGCTGACGTTTCATACAGAGGTGGTCCGTGAGGCTGCTAGCGTTAAGTTAATCTATTGAAGCTACAGCTAACTGTAGCACGCAAGATCAAGGCCTTGATGAGTTTGTTCTGTGGCTAAGTTTCTGATATTTGACTGGATATGTCCGGTTAAACTGCCACTTGAAATAACAACCATTTTGGTGAGCTCCGAACTTGCCATAACAACAAACAGTGTCCAGAGACAATAGCATTTTCCCTATTTAGTGTTGACGTTCAGTCTTGAATTTGCATAGTTGGACAATGGACAACTGTAACTATATTAGGCTTTTTTTGGAGCTTCATGGGGAAGTTTAATTGTGAGGCCCTGTATAATATGATATAGGTATCTAGTCAGGTATCCTTTGTGTGTTTTGCAGAAGTAAGGAGAATATATCAAATGTACTAAATGTTCATAGGTGCCATATCCTCTTCCACTTTCTGTGGGAAATGTCATTACACCAAACTGCATGCTGTATTTATTTGTTAGTGTACAATGCCGAATCGATTAGTCGATTAGTCGAAGCAGATTGTTGGCAGTTTTAAGTTACGTACCAAGTAAAAATGCTGAGCTCTCACTATTTTCAGTTCCTCAAATATAAGGATTTGCTGTTTTTCTTGTGACTTGCATCTCTTGTATTGTTCTGTTGCAATTTCCTTGGGCTTCTTGGGATCTGAGAATTTGTGAAGGGAATTTTACAGTTTTTGGGCATTTGTACTGCAACCATCAATGGATAGATCAAATAAAAAATCTATAATGATAATACTCATATTCAGCCTTGGTGTTTTTTGCATTTAGATGACCTTTTAATGAACACTAATCAATAGAAAAGGATGTTAAAATGTACCCAAATGTAGTGTGAATATAAAGCACAGCGTAATTAATGGCAGGAGTATTCACCGCCCTCCAAGTCAGTATGTGTAGGAGGCACCTTTGACATCCATTGTAGCCACAGCTTTGCACATCTGGACTCTGAAACGTTCTTTTTTGCCGTTCTGCCATAAAGGTGCAATCGGTGAATATTCGTTGTTCGCAAAGTGTTTCCCATCTCAGCCGTAGAAACCTGTACTACTTCAGAGTTGCTATCGATCTGTGGATGGCTTCCCTCACAAGTGTCCTTATTGCACAAATGCTCTATTATACTACTATAATCTAGTCTATATTTAGTGCATTGGAATTTCCTCTTATCCTTTGCTCGATTTGTTCTTTTCAGTCACCTGTTCCTTTTTCTAAATTATGTAGTTTTTCTTTCACGTGTTTTATCCGTTGAAAAGTTTTCACTTCTACAGTATAATTCGACTTCCTTTGAATTGTTTCCCTTATTACTATACATGTCTAATTTCAGGACGTCAGTGTTGTTACATTTTTAATATTGGAAAAAAAAAAAACATGGACATATTGGTGCTCTTTACAAACCATCTGATGAGTACTTTTTAATTGAAGTGAGGATGCTTGGTGCACTCAGGGTTACATATAAAAACGAGGGCAGTATCCCTTTTCTAGGTTATGATTGTGTAAGAACTACAACAGCCATACTTGTGCCCTGTTTCATATAATACTGTCTTTGAGGCAAGGGGAGTAGTAGTGGGCTGAGTAGCAGTTGTTTGAATGAGGTAATTGGATTATTCTGCTTTACGTCTGCTGACTACAAAATGCTTACACCTCACAGTGAGAATTCTGTTTAGATTCTTGTCATGTAAACCAACGTAATTAATTAGAAAATGATATATTTGACTTGATAAACACTAAGCTTTCATTAAAAAATGTCACCCAAAAAGGGTTGGAAATCTCAATACTCCTTTTCCAGTGAAACTTCTCTGACTGCGTTTGATAACTCTAACTGAGTCGCCCTGCTTTTGAATTAGATTTACAGATTTTATAACCTCTCTTCAGACAATGGTTCTTCTGCATTGCAGCTTTATGTAATACTTGAATCTTGATAACAGTTTACGCAACCGTTGAGACCATGTCGGCATGTAACCTGGCTGATGAGGATATTTAATTCATAACACTTTGCCTAAAAGAAAGAAGCTTTTATTCTGTCCGCTGACGTTGTGCATTTAACTGATTGAAGGGTTCGTGTTGTTGATGGCCTCCCTGCCAGCCATGGACACTGTGACTGACACATGCCTCGCAGTGCACCAAAACGGGGCCGTCCATCGGGAAACCCCACACACAAGGCCAGCCGCTGCTGTTCTGAGACTCCATTTCTACCACAGCAGCCAAGGACTGACCGACTGCAGCTCCCTCAGCTACCCACCTGGAGACTATGTGGTTGAGGAGCTGTGTATAGACGCAGCCAAGGCTTGCAGTGAGTACTCGGAGCGGCGGAGGCCTGCATAACGCACCCCCACTCATGTGTTTTGCTGTAACTTGGGGCATAGGTCCCGAGATAAGGTTATCAAGAGGCCACAGTGAAACCTATCAGCAGAAAAATCGTTGGCTTGTGCAGTCATCTCAATGCTTTGTTTACAGTCTGTCCAACTTTCTTACTATGTTTAAGGGTAAGCAAAAATGTGGTAGCTTTGCTTGGTGTACGAGTCAATAAAAGTATGACGCAAATAATACACAGAGCAGGGCCATGCAGGGGTGGGGGCGCTAGACAAACCTGCATGTTGTTGGAATCGCATGTTATGTGTTTGATGATAAACCAAACACAACTGACATTTTAGACCATCTTTATTGTCTCTATTGACCTTTTGTTCACCTGTGTTGGTACTAGAAACTAATGTGTGTCCTAAAGCGTAATCTATTATTTACTCCTGAGTTAACTCAAATTAACACAGTTTCCACAGGTGTACTGCACTTTGTGTGTTTGTTTGCTTACTTTATACAGATGAACAAGGAAAATTGACTTGAATCAAGCTAGTAAGACACAGTAAAGCGCACCTGTACTGTTTTGAAAAAACGTGTTGCGTAATTGAATTAAGTGAAACTTTACAGAACGTAATGTGGTTGTGGTTTGTTGCTCTGCTTTAGGTATATCACCTCTGTACTGCAGCCTTTTTGGTCTCTTCCGAGAGCGAGACCGCTTGTGGTTTTCACCCAACCACATCTTCCAGCTCGACGAATTGGCTTCAGAAGATGTGTTTTTCAGAATAAGGTAGCATACATTATTTTGCTTCTGCATTGCCTCTTTTTCTATCTGTTCCAAATTACAATGTAAACATCCCTGTGACTGACTCCATTTTCTTGTTAAAATTTACCACAGGTACTACTTCCCTGGCTGGTACAGTGGTGGGGCATCCCGGGCATATCGATATGGGGTCGCCAAGGGGTCAGAAAGCCCTGTCCTTGATGACTTTGTTATGTCGTACCTCTTCTCTCAGGTGAGCGCTTTAGCGTACACCCTCTGGTCAGAAATGTGATCTTTTTGTATGTGGGCCGGCATGTTGTAATCTGTAATTTGTTCATACGTTGCCTTGAAGTCAAATCCTGTAGATTAGGCATTGAAAAACAAGCGGCTCATATCCTTGACAAGTACAGTGATATCAGTATGTTTGATTCCTAGTTAGGTCTAGAAATTCAGTTTTTAAAAAGATAGAGAAGTGACAAACTCTGAAACTGGTACTTTTTGTTGTCTTTTTTTGACCTTATGTTTGTCCATGGATGTCTTTGGTAAGATGGATTTCAATCAGTTGACACACTAGTCAAAAGGGTGCCCATGCAGGCAAGTAGCATAAATAAGAGACACTTTCAGTGAGTGCAGTTATAGCCTTCATGTGAGAGGGAACTCAGTTTTGGGAGCAATTTGCAAAAATCCACACCTAAGTGTGCACAAATCAAAGTGAGCAAAATTAAACACCCATTCACGGTACTTTGTGTGCACTCCCAAGGTTTTTTCTATAAAGGTTTGACAGATCACAGCAGGCTCAGAGCAGAGCTATTGTCCCAAAATGTCATTGTTTGCAGGACATTTCCTGTCCTTGTCAGAAACAATTAAGTCTTCTACACAAAGGAAAGTTTCTTTATTTTGAAAGGTTACAGTCAGGATGCCAGCAGGGCTCCATTACTGACAAAGTGCAAATCAGGAAGCCAGACCCTCAAGACTCAAGAAGAGGATGAGTAATTCTTGTTACTAAGAACATAAGAAGACACTAATGTGTTTGTTTGTTTCCCAATTCATTCCCAAGCCCATTTACTACTTCATTATGTCTTAAAAGGTCAAGGCAAGTCAAGATTTATATATATATCATCAAAGGCCTGCATTCTCAAGAAATTATTTTTATAAACCACACTGCAATAGAATGGAGTTGTGTGTATTATAGGTGAATCCAGGTTGCTCAAGCCAGTAATATGACTGGAGTTGAACTCAAAGTGAACTAAAGGATTATGGGGAATTATGCCTGTGGAAATGTGCACTGTTGGCTCAGGAAAAGCCTATAAGGGAGAGGGGAAGCACCACTGCGTGGGTCATTTGAGGGTGCAGAACACTGTGTTTGCTGCCATTAAGCCATTACACATGCTTGTGTTCACCCTGGACAGATGTTGTCTTTTGTTTTGTGAAGGATATGTTGAATTCCTCACAGTCACATCTAGAGCCGCTGTGTTTGTGATAAAGTAAGGCTATTATGACCTGCAAGAGGAAGTGTGTCTCTGCATTCGCCGGTTGGAGGTTAACTGATAGAGCAACAAAAACAAAGAACAAAGATAAATGACAGAATTTTTGGTAAATGTATTTAATTCTCTTGTTTTGAGAAGGGTGGGTTGGGGATACACAACATTGAAGCACAAAATTGACTAAAATAATAAGGGCCTTAGAGCAGGGGTTTTCAAACTGAGGCATGCCTCTCCAGGGGGCGTGGGAAGATTGGATGGGCATGGAGGAAGAGTATGGGCTGATATTTGTGTCAGTAGAAACTGAATTTGAATTATTTAGAGCTGAATCTGAATTGCC